TACTAATATAGCTAGGGTGGTAGGGATCATCCCAAGGGATTGGGGGCAATGTTAATATGGAAACAAGGTCGGACTAGTAGGTCGAGTGATCAAAAGGTGGTTTGATTGGTTAATTATACTACAATGTAAATAAATTTAATGCAAAGCAATTAAAGTAAGTAAAGAGTAGAGAACAAGAGAGAGAGGTCTTGGGATTTAGAGGTCACCACTAAACATCACCTTTCTAGATACTCAATGTGTAATGAATGAGGGGAAATATATGTTGCAACACCAATATGTGTGATTGATTGAATCAACAAGCATGGATGACTAATTAAGCATACATTGTCTTGACAACCTAATGAATAGCATAATATATCAAACTAAGCCATTATTCCTTCCTTTAAGCTCACAATCAAACACTTTAACAAGCTAGAGAATTATACTACTTGCATTCATAAGTATGGAACATCAAACAACAAGTATGGATTGCCCTCCTATCTAAGAAAATAAGGCAACTACACTACACTAAACTAAGGACATGCAAATTAAACTAATTACACTAAGGTATAGGCACAATCCATCAAGAAATGAGTATGAACCATCAAACAAGTTACAAGAGTATTCCATTAAAGCACCATGCCTTGACAATCTCTAGATTCATAGCATCAACACACATAGACATGCATCAATATCACAAAACCAAGAGATAAATACATGAACATCATTCTAGCATACATAGACATATGAATAGAATGAAATAATCAATTGGAAGTATTAAACAACACAAATCATTATAGAAACAAGATTTATATATAAATCAAATGTCAAGACAAGAATTACAACATAAATTCTCTCAAAATACAAAACATCAAGATCTAGAAGGCGTGCTTAGGGCTAACTCTAGCCCCAAGAAAATGTTTAGCCACTTATTGATGTAGTCATCCAACCCTCAAGGGCCATCCTCATGGTAGGATTAATCTTCTTCTCCTTGATGGAAACCCTAGATGAATGGAAGAACTCTCAAATGGTGTGTGTATCTCTCTAATCTCTAGCCTCCTCTCCAAGATTATGTAAATGTCTAAGGTTGTATATGTGTAAACTGGCTCAAAATCCTTATATAGGTAGCTCAAGTGTCACACCCAATGGTCAGGTCTCGTGCACTAGGGCCCTTTCAATGATTGTACCACGAGCCATCTTTTAATGAGCTGGACTCTATTTTATTTCGAGCTTGAGGAGATTTGATCAATCGAATCCTGATGAGATCGATCAAAGAATGTTCAGATCGATCAAACCTTGGCGGCGCCTTTTTGGAATAGGACAAGCCTGAGATATTTTTGGGATATTTTGGGAAAAAGACAAAAGTGGTAGGTGGGGATAAGATCAAAGAAGTTCAATCGATCGAAATAAAAGTTGGATCGATCGAAGATGGAAATTCTTGAGGATAAGGACAAGGGGTTTGATCCATCTTGGTGAGGCTAGATCGATCACTGTGAGATTGATCGAAGATTGGTCTGATCGATTGAAACTTGCTGTTTTCCACCACTTCGCTCCTTTTTGCTCCTTTCTTCCATTCAGCTTGAGATTGCTTTTTTTATGCTCTAATTTGGCTGAATTGACTTATTTTGGGGATAAGTGCCTGAAAAGGGCAATAACATGAAATTAGTCTAAAACGGGAAAATAAGATAGATAAAGGTCCTAGAATACTTAAGCTTAAGGGGTTTAAATGCGCACTTTTCAGCGCTCATCACTACATCACTATCTATTTCCCCATCTTTTTTTAATATTGACCCTAGGCAATGGAAATAGTTCCTTTGAGTAACTCTTTGGTTTTGAAGTGTAATATTTATATTGTCATCGTTTTCTACATTTGCATATTTACATTTTATATATTCCGTTTAGTGTTACTAATTCTTAGGCCCCTTGATTCTAATGCCTTTTTCTATATTTCTAATTTTGTTGCTAAAGCTTCTTTAGAAGTATCTATTAATACTATGTCATTTGCAAATAACTTACACCATGGGATTTTCTCTTCAATAACTTATGTTATTTCATCTAATATTATCACAAATAGGTATGGACTTAACACCAATCCTTGGTGTAGTCCCACTTTTATAGGGAAGTCGCTAGTTTTCCCACTTGTAATGTTAATTCTGGTCAAGAAAAATAAAATTGAAGAGAGAAATTAAGCATGAAAAACACAATAATGTAACGTAGTTCATCCATTTTGGCCTACATCCATGGCACACAAGGCCCAAAGAGCTACATCTCTTTCATTATGTTGTCTCTTAATTTTGTTTATAATGAGACCACCTCTATTAATTGGTGAAAGAATACAAACATGTGATAAATATGAAGAATATATTGATAGAAGATTCCTCAAATCAATTCCATAAATCACTCATTTCAATATTCTATCGGGCTCCTATAATGATAGTCTTTAACACCCCCCCTCTAACAAAAATCTATGAATACACTTGTGTACTAAATGATGCCTTGTGTTTGAACAATGTAGTTGCCCCTGTTTCTATAACTTAAAGTCCGTCTCTTATCAACATAATATTTATAAAAAAATAAGAAATAAAAAAAACAAAAAACAAAAAAAAATTAAAAAAAAAAAAAAAAAAAAATTCCACTTATCTGATTAGAGATTGCATAAGAAACTGCCTTGCCTTATAGAGTTCCACCAAGCTCTTCTATGTCTTGACTTCATTGGATCACTGTTTTTCTTAGATATAATTATTTGTAGTGCTCTCAGTTGTGTTGTGAATGATCATTCCTTGGATCATTCCTGCTTCCTACTATTCTTCAAGTTATATTTTGACATTGTTAGGTCAACAGGACTTATGTTGGCATATTTCGTGAATTAGAACTAGAGTCTATAATTTTATTTTTATTTTTAGTTTAGTTAGAATTTTTGAAAGTTAGTGTCTAGAAGCTACCTCTTGGTCGTGGTTGATGATGGAATTCAAGCTACATTCAAGGACAAAAGCGTAATATTCTACACCAAGGGCCTCATGGCTGCAATGGTTTCCATGTTCAGGTTATGTGAGTAGTCTAACACACGCATGGATTCTTTTAGTTTAATTGCGTACATATGTTGGAATCTTTGGAAAAGTCGAAACAAATTGTTGTTTGAAGGCACCATCATGTCCGAACAAGCCATTGTGACAACAGCTTTGAGCCAATGGACAGAATTTTCTGATGCAGCTTCGAATATCCATCACTCTATCCCATCTGGTTCTTTTGAGTTGATTTCTTGATGGGTTCCCCCAGAGGAAGCGTGAAAGTTGATTTTGATACCGCACTAAGGCTCCATTTGTTTCGACATAAAATATCTTCTTCGGAAAATATTTTCTATGTAAAACTTTTTTAAGTAAAATATTTATTTTTTATTTTTATTTTTCGGGGTGTGGCAAAGATCTAAAAAAAAATCCAGAACAAAAGCACAAGTTATTTTTGTTATGTTTTGATAAAATATTTTACTTAAATTTTGGACAACCAAACACCAAAAAATAAAAATAAAAATTTCTAAAAAATTTTTTACATCCAAACAAACAAAACCTAATGGAAAATCCGGTAAGGCCCGCGGGGGGTGTATGGTGAGAGACCACCTTTGCTGGCTATGACAAGGAAAATATGGTTTTCTTGGGTCAGTGAGTTTCCTGTTTCAGTTGAAAATTTGGCCCTCCAAGATTGTAACTGTGTTTGATACTTTAATGATAACCTCTTTGCTGGTTCTTGAAAAATAAAAATAAAAATTAATTAATTAATTAGGGGTCATGCATTCATACATAAGGATTTTTACTTTATATGCTTTGACTTGGAAAATCCTAATTGAATTGCATATAAAGAGTTTTGAAAACTACCCTTTTCTGAAAGTTTTCAAAAGTATAGAACTGCAGGGAACTTCGATCGATTGAGAGTCAGTGGAGTCACGTCGATCGATCGGCGTGTCTTTTGATCAATCAAGCAGTGCAAAGAAGCATTTTCCTTTTCTTCTTAAAACCTTATTCTCTCTTAAACACTATTTTCCTATAAATACAGTATTCAAGAGTAAATCATATATACAGAGAGTATCGTCTGAGAGTTTTTGAGGGCATATTTTTCTTTTATCGTTCATCATCTGCATTAGTTGGTTAGTGTTATTTAAGTACGTTGACAACAACCGTTGAAGAGTTAATACAAGCTAGATCAACACCAACTTCTACTCGACCAAACCGAGATTGATTTTTCACTACTGGTCTTTGGAAATCGTATCACTGGTTGTAGAAGTGGATTGTGGATCTGTTGACGACGAGTAGACTCTGTGTCTGGAGACTCGAGTGGAGAGTTTGGCGGATCAGTCTGTGTCAAGCGATAACTTGATGTTCTTGGGTTGGGGAATTGTTAACCTATTTGAAATACCTTCTCATAAGGGATTTGGTTTGCTTGGATTAGGTCCCATGGTCTTTTTCATTTGAGTTTCTCATGTAAAAACCGTAGTGTCCTTATTCATATTAATACTGCTTCAATTTATTATTGATTGATTGGTATGTTAATTAGCATAATAGATTAAATAAGCTTTAATATTTAGTTTTAATTTGAATTTAAAATTATGGTAATTTTAGTTCAGATTCAAAAAGTTTTTCAAATCAGTTAAAAGTCTCAAGCAAGTCTTATTCACCATCCTCTAGGTCTAGATCACGAATCTTGTGCAACTCTGTATCGGTGTCTAGGGTTCCGGTCCTTACCTCGTTAGACATGATTAAATATTATCCGTTTGGAACACAACAAAAACGAATGAACAAAAAGTTGTATGTCATTTTGTTATGTAAAATCTGATGACTGTTCTGTTTAATAATTCTGATGATTATCATTTCAAAGTTGAATATACCCTAACATCTGGCCCAAACACTCAAATGACTGGGACAGGCCTACGATTACAAATTTCGAAACCTTTGGTATTCGTGGATCTTAAATTTTTTTGCAGAATGGTTTTCTGATTTATGATCTTTTGTACCATCCATCTCTTTATACAGATTGGAACTTAAACCTTTGGGGATAGATGTTATTAATATTGTACCTGGAGCTATTAAGTCAAACATAGGAAATTCTGCTTTAGCTGGCTTTAATCGGATGCCTGAATGGAAGTTATACAAGCAATTTGAAGCAGTGATCCGAGAGAGAGCCCAGTTGTCGCATAGCTCAAAGTCGACCCCTGCAGAAGAGCTTGCAAAGAAGACCGTAGCAGTGGTGCTGAAGAAGAATCCACCATCTTGGTTCTCTTACGGCCGTTACTCCACCGTATCAGCAATAATATACCATCTGCCACTATTTGTTAGAGATTTTATTTTCAGGAAAGTGATGAAATGTTGAGGTTTTACATTTCATATTGGGTTTTCAAGTGTAAGTTGTTTCCATGTAAATGTACCCTCAAAGGATGTTTTAGTTTATCGGTGAGGGAGTTACTTTTCTCTTGCGTGAGAATAATCTGTGTTCTGTGTGTATCTGTGAATAATTTAAAGAATTGCTAATTTGCATGAGAATAATATGTGTTTTGTAAAGTCTAGATTCTTTGTTGTAGCGTGTCGCTGCTGTACCTGTGTTGTAGAGATTTTCAAAACATTTAATCTGGTTTCAACACATTACTTCAAGGTAGGAATAATGCGTTGAAACAAGGTGTAATTGTGTTGAAATCTCTTTTTGACACTATTATTTTTACCTTAAAGTAATCAGTTTAAACTAGAAACTATATTTAATGTGTTGAATTTTTTTTTTTTTTTTTTCCTAGTTGGTACTCACACACACATGCCTCCACTGAGGCTTAAACCCCTAACCTTTCTTTGAGAAGTAAGAGCTTGGTACCGCTAGGCCATTGGTACAACTGTGATGTGCTACAGCAGACATGTGTTCTGTATATGTTGAAAGAATCCAAACTTATTCAAGAATTTTATGAAATGCAAACATATATTCTGTATGAATGTTGAAAGAATCCAAACTTATTCAAGAATTCTATGAAATGCATAGAATTCATGATCCAGTTTGATGAATAATACCAGGTGAAGCTCATCTTCTATATAAATTTGCATGGTTTTACTCAAATCAGCAAAAAAAATTTGAATGGTAAAGAAACCATGCAATGGGAATGGCTTTTGTCCTACACTTCTCATGGGGACTAAATACAAATTACTAAAATGTTCAACATACAAAAAAATAACTTTGGCAATGTGCCTCATAAAGTATCCAGTATAAAGTTCAATTCCTACTGAGTGCAAACAATTCTTTGGGCTACGCCTCTATTAAGATTTTCACAATTATTTGATTGCGGAGAATCCATGGTATCAAAAAAATGAAAAAAACAAAAAAAATTGCCGTGGCTGCTACACAAACTGTTTTACACGCATAACCACACATTGGTCAAGATGTCTAAATTCTGATCCCCAGAAGACAAACAAAAAAAAAAAAAAAAAAAAACACCAAAGAGGCCGTAGTCATGACATGGGCACCGTCATGTGTATAAAACACCTATTGGTTTGTTTATTGACAAAAAAAAAAAAAAAAAAAAAAAAAAACAGGGAGGACAATGAGGTCATTGTGCTTCAAATCACCACACATTCAAGGCAATAGCTTTAGTGAACTTCAAACCACAGCAGAACAGGTCCATTCCACAAATCACAAGAAATTAATTATCCAATGAGAAAGGCAATGCTTTATCAGGTTTGACTTGCCAATACAAAATTGTCAGCTGCCTCTGGAACAACATTTTACAAGTATAATTTATGAGGAGAAAAAGGAAATAATAGCAAAGACAAATGAAAGACAACAACAGATGGTGGACACAGAGATTGTCCATTGACCCTAAATCTGACTTGGCCTGACAATGGAAATATCATTTCTATTCTTCACCTGCACTGTCAGTTGCTCTATGGATGCATAAACCTATTTAATTATTGTCAAGACCTCTCTATATCTAGTATCTCAACTCAACCAATTTGCACAAACAAATGTCCAAAAATTCTCCACAAAAAAAACACTGCCTAAACATGTCAATTGATTGGACTATTTACTTGAAGACCTTTTCTCACTGAGAATGATAAGGGTGAGCATAGTACATCATACTAGGTGGCTGGAGAGGTCCAAGAGGTTGAAAATTAAGAGGCCCCGGTAGTTGCTGAGGTGAAGGTATCGGTTGCTGCTGAGTTAATGCAGATGACTGGTGGGGTAATGTTAGTGGTTGCTGTTGAGATATCTGCAATGGTTGCTGGGTAAATGGCACCATCGGACTCATCATGTGTGGAGTGGGTGGGAACGGCCCTGATGTCAAGGGTGGAATGCTACTGTAATTATATGAACTCACAATCCCTCCTGATGGTTGCAAATAATGTTGGGAAGGTGGGTTAGAAAGTATATGGTATTGGGCTTGGGAGATGGGGGTGCGACTCTGCATGGTTGGTTGAGGTAGCAAAACTGATTGATAAGGATTGTTTGGTGGAGCAGTGAACGGCTGTCCTTGCATAAAGACATTGGGATCTGAAACAGGAATGGATTGTTCTGCTTTTGGCGTTGAATAGGTAGCTGAATTGATGGGAGATGTGAAAGAATTGGACAGTGTGGAAGCCTTGGTCAGTCCTGTGTTTTTTGCCTCTTCAGCTGCAAATGTAGAGAGAACAGAAGTCATGATATATTGAGAGGAGCTAGAAGCTGCAAGCTTGTCAGCAACCTCAGCTGCAATGGCAGCAGCTGTCTTCTTTGGTGCTTGTCCCGCTTTAGCATTTGCATCTGTTGATGTTGGGTTTGTGGTTGATGGTTTTGAAACAGCAACATAATTTTCATCATCAAGCCGCTTCCGCATGTTGCCGGCTTCCTCTGCCTGCACCTCTGCTACCTGAAAAGGGATTAAAAGTGATACATTAACATCTGGTTGGCATATATTATTTGGCAGAGGTCCTAATTTTATTAACACCCTTTCTCTAGATACCTATGCCAACTGGTGAGACTCGATAGGAAGTACAAGGCACTGTTTTCATCTTACAAATAATTTGAAACTCAAACAGGTTTCATTTCCATTCACAAATACTAGATTTCTTAGTTACTGAGGATGTTCAAATTCTAAAAAATTAAAAGCCAGGGAAAAAAAATATCAAGGTTTATTCAAGTGGAATAAGTTCCTTTCGGAATATATATATGTAACGAAGTACAGTTGGCGCAATGCGTTTTCGTCTTCTTTTTCTTTTCTTTCTTCTTTTTTTGTTTTAGTCAAGAGTCAGAATTGATAAGATTGGACCTGAATATGAATGCACAGTTCAACTATGGGCACAAAACTCCAAAATGGTCATAATCGTTTAGAGGAGATTGAAGTCACAAGGACATAAATACCTTTCCTGTTCTGGTTCAGAATGACAGGTGCTATGGTTCAGGATGATAGTTCTAATCAATATTATCTAAGGCCTTAAATTTAGGGTTCAGCTGCTTCAGCACCACTCAGTACTAGAGTTGTTTAGGACCCTCTTGATTTCAGCCACATCCGTATCTGGCCCAACAGGTGGTGGGTCCCACTGGAAGTCTCTAATCAGGTTGCTATTGGACCACTTCAGTACATGAGTGGAGCCCGGAGCCCGGAGCCCGGAGCCCAGCCTGACGTCTAAAATCAGGTTGCTATTAAACCACTCCGGTACAGAAGCAGAGTGGCCAGGAGCTCAACCCCTAAAATAACAGCTAATTGAATGACAAAAGAGTAATAACATTGAATTATCAAACCGTCCCCTACTAAACTAGCCTGCCAGTTGTACATCAGTCTTTCATAATTTCAATCTACTTGCACAGGTTTGACAATGGTCTATCAATGATAAATATTTGCTAGACTATATATATGTATATATATATATATATTTAAATTTGGAAAAAACATGTGTCTAGCAATGATCTGTTTGCATGATGTTTATGATAATACATTCCATAAATTGAATACAATGTTAGAAGTTGGAACAGATATTTTGATTGAAACTCGACACCATTACAACAGAATTTTATATGCATAGACAATGTCAATAACGTCCCAGACAAATTCTCTATTCAAAGATAATAATTCCGTTCTTAGCATTTCACTTGATCTTCGTTACTTTTCCCCAAACTTTCATTAATTTATTCCACTTCTTGTTTGACAAAATACAGAACCTGAACCTGTCTCAACAAAGGTTTTGACAGTTTTTAGCAGCCTAGTAAGTACTATCAAGAAGAGACAAGGCATATAGAAACTATAGTGCAGTGGACAAGCAAAATCATACTAAACACACGCCCCATCTTTATCAAACCAAAAGAAAGCAATAAACAAGTGAACTAGGAAACAAGAAATAATTAATTAAGGGCAAATTCATCAGATACATACCTGCATCTGAGTGCGAACATTCTCTAATTCCGACTCCTGAAAATTTTCAAAATTAAAGCACATTGAATTGCACAGCGTTTACTGTCCAAAATGCATACATCACTGAACAAGTTAACACTTTTTACACATAAATGAAGTAGAAACTTATAATTAGTTAAGGAACCAAGTACCTGTTCATGCAGAGCTTGCTGTAACTGAGATACAAGGGCCACTCTATTTGATTCAACTATCTTCAATTTGACAATACACTGTTTCAAAAGAGTCTCTTCCTCCTCTAGATCTTTGGACAAAGTTTTTCGCTTTGGATCCTTTGCTGAGTGACAAAAATACCAAGCTTTAGATGCCCAGATGTGGAAAGCATCAGAGTATGAGCATTTAAGCACCCTTAGAGGAAAAGAATAAAAACAAGAATGCCAAATTTTAGGGATCCATTTCAGTACATCCTACATGCCAGACATTAACTGCAAAATCATTATCAGCCTACCTTTGCTACAGGCAAGGTCAACATCTTTCTCCATTTTCCTAACACGATGGGCAGCAGACTTGCATTTACTCATCTCTTCATCTTCACTAGGATGTTCACTGAGAACCAAGTGAAATGCTGACACTATCCTTTCTGCTGAGCCTCCAATGGTTAATTTCTATTGAGCAAGGCAATGATTTAGATGGAAGCAATATAGTTAGACGATAATAAGCAGATGAACAGAAATAAATGCCTGAAATTAGACAAATTTGATGAAGGAAGGAGGGTAGAGGAAGTGTCTTGGTTCTGACCGTTTTTATTGAGCGTGAATCCCTTTTTACAATTCTCACAGAACGAGAACGCTTTTTTCTGAACTCCAAGGGTGGGGACAATTCTTCTCCAAGCATTACATTTTTAAGGCTCCGTGATCGGGATCCAAATACTCTCCTTTCTTCCCATATAGAAACCTATCAATTATCTAAGCATTAGTTTATTAGATCAGATCACATCACTACCATTATTAAAGTAAATGATGCAACCTAGTGGGCTTACAGACAACACTATGGTATCTCAATGATCTCATATATTAATACTTCATGAATAACTTAAATTGAAGACCGGAAAGAGATATGGAAAAGATAACAAATACAGAAAAGGACATGAAAATACTCTACGGGTCAGTTTGCTTTGAGAGTTTTGTACTCACTCCCCTTTTGAGCGCTTCTAATGAAATCTTACTTATCCAAAAAAAACAATTAAAGGTTTGCTTTGAGAGAAATGGAGGGATGGGATATGAAAGGATATGAGAGGAAACCATATCTTGTGCTTGTTACAAAATCACAAGGAAATGGAGGGGTTTACTAGCCCCCCAACTGTGGTTTTGCTATCCTCCAAAATAAATGGGGGGAAATGGAAGGAAAGGATAACAAGTTCAATGACACTTTTATGACACCGCTTTTACCCTTAAATTTATGGACAAAAACAAAATACCTTCACTCCATTAAATATAAAGGGTTTACTAGCCCTCCAACAGTGGTTTTGCTATCCTTCAAAAAAATGGGGGGAAATGGAAGGAAAGGATAACAAGTTCAATGACACTTTTATGACACCGCTTTTACCCTTAAATTTATGGACAAAAACAAAATTCCCTTCAGTCCTTTAAATATAAAAGGGTATAGTTGTAAATTCAAAAAAAAAATGGTTCCCTTCATTATCCCAAACATTTTTTAGGTGTTAACACTATTTCTTCAATATTTACTGGGAAAAAACACAAAATTTTCCTTACTTTTCCATCATTAATCAACCAAACACGGTGAGAGGTTAACACTATCCTCTCCATTCTTTTCTTTTCTCTCATAACTAAATTTTTTCTTTTTCTTTCCCCCTCCTGCTACACCAAATACTGCCTAAATGTAAGAGGTCGTACCCAGTGCACGAGCCTGCCACATTAAGGAGGGTCCAGGAAAGGTAGATGGTAGGCAGCCTTACCCCTATTTCTAGAGAGGATGATTCCAAGACTTGAAACCCGCCCCACTGCAGATTTCATTAGAGATGAGCACTTGACCATTATTAAGTGCTGTGACCTACCTCAAACACTGCTAAAACGTTAACAGATAAAGATAATAGTGCTTTGATCGCTGGAAATTGTCATATGAACAATCTTCCAAAAATCAGAAAGGAAATAAATATTCCAAAATTACAAGAATAATAGGGGAGGTGAGATTTAATGAGCTAACTTTTCTCCTATCTCCTAAGCAAAACATGAAAGGGGCATACCAATCTGGACACCACATTCTTTCCGTGATCATCACCTTTCTCTAATAAATCTTTGACTGCTGCAGGAAGAACCTTCCAAAATTCATTAACAAATTCATTTCCTTTACGCTTGCTATTCTGCAGGATGTCATTTGCAAGATACAGAAGGGGAACTTTTTGAACCATCTGCGAACTATGGAACTGCTTATCCCATGTTGCAACAACCAGCTCTGCCTTGCTCCGGTGAAAAATACACCAATGTGACAATGCTATGTAGGAAAGTCAAAATAACAAACAGCAACACAAAGAATATAAGAGAAAATGCCAACACGAAAGATAGCAATAAATTAATTTGATTCCCTCTTTAATTGGATCATCATAGAAAATCACAAGAAATTATGAGAAGTGTAGGATAACAATACCAACCAAAGTTGGCTTCAATCAATATTATCATATAGTTTAAAATATAAAAATAAAATAAAAAATTTTGAAAAATGAATATGGCATTATGCTGATTCTAGATCATTTTATAATATTGGCATGTCCAGACCTGTTAGAGCAATGTTTATCAGTGTCCAAGAAGTGCCAGAGTATAAAACATATCCTACAATAGTTGGATACAACTCCTGTACAGAAGTATTCATGCGACCTAAATTACTTTTGAAAAGGAAAACAAAAAAAGTTACGTTTCCTGTCACTTTTTCCATTTGTAACTTTTGCAAGGCAAAGTACTAAAAAAACATACTTGAACATGTTAAAACCTCAAATCTCTTTATTCTCACTGTCCATTTGAAATGAACTGGAAACACTTGATAATGGCCCATCTACTAATCCTTTTACTATCAACAACTTCCACTGGAAACACATCATGAAATTGTACAAATTTTACATATAGTTATACTTATTTATATATCAGTCTCTGCTTGTACAAATTAAAAGGATAGCCCCTCTTGCATTTCAAAACAAAATTGTCACTATCAAACCTTATATCCTAATTCCTAAACAAGCCAACTTCCAAATGAAAAAACTGAAAGTACTGTACCTCATTCATTTCCTGTCCATCTTTCATTTCTTAGGTAAATTCAAATTCTATCCCAGTCAAAAATGGAAAAATAAATGAAAAATAACTACAGATTAAAACATATAAAGTTTTCTGTTATTTTCAAATTGTAAATAAAAATTGTGAGATGGATTAATAACGAGAATGAAAATAAAGGATTGTGATTAAAAGAGACCTAATCTTATTAATGAACATTTGAACAGGGAGAAAAGGGTAGGAAAGAAACCATTATTTTCCAATTATCCACTCTTAACTGAGCTACAAAAATTTAAAAGAGGTTGTACTTTTCGGCTTTAAGCCTTAGCACTTTGGGTAAAAATGGATAATTGAACATCTTAGCCCCCATGCAATGAGTCTTACCCACATCAGGTAAAGTATCAACCACTATAAAAATGAAAGACATTCCCCATTTGGGTAGAATCAATTTCTACAAAAACAACAGCAAGTCACCATCAGGGATAATCAAATTCGGCAAAAAAAAGAGCATCAGTCACTACATATTTATCTTCCTTGAACCATTCAGGAAGAATGAATAAAGGTGAAAAATATAGGCAAGAAATCTTATTCCAATCAATCAAAAGAACAATTCCAAAGCATGCATAATTATTAAATAACAAATGGGTAGAAATCTTAACAATAAATTTTTTATAAAAAAAAAATATATAGGGAGGATACTTTCAATACACTGTTGAGTGCTGTTGAGCTTGGAGAACTTGTCTGCAAGTATCTGTTCACTGAAGAGACTATTCATTCCACCTGATAATGCCTCACCACCCACACCCCCAAACAGAAAAGGAAAAAAGAAGCACTGGAACTCCAAACTGAAAAAAATTCAGATCTTTAAACCCTAAAAATCAGTATAGGGACTAAGTTCAATTCTGACAGAACAAATTGAACATTAGGTATCTATCGAATTTGGCAAATGCAGGAAGAGGCACGAAATGAGATATAGAAATAATTGAGGAATTGCATGGTGACAGTAGAAACTCCCAGGACCAATTCTTGAAAACAGCGGCGAATCAAACCAGTACCAATGACAAATCACAGGGAATGAGGTTACAAAGAGAGAGAGAGAGAGAAAGGGGGAGGATTGAAGAGGTCACGAGGGTTTCGATTAGCTTCTGACACGAATGAGAAGGGTCGAGAGATTCTATAAAACCTAGAACCAGAAACGTTCTCTGGTTTTACACATACAGCAGAAATGTATGTGTCAAATAAAAGCAAAGTGGAGAGAGAAAGAACAGAGAGAGAGTGAGTTGCAATAGTCGCAGTGAGAGTTTTTGTAGCTCTTCTCCGTCTAGAAGGAAAGCAAAATGGGGCCTAATGTCACAAATCTTGGTTTTGGCGACTCATATACACGGAGTACTTGATACGAGTACTTTGCTAGCTGAGTGTCAAATTCCTATTGACGTGGCATGTCAAGACATTATAAATGAGCTGACGGATCAAACACATTTAATTATTTTTAATACAAATACGAAATTTTTATTTAACACAATTAGGAAAACCGGCTATATCTAATAAGCTGACACGTTTAGTTAATTCGCTGTAAATGAATTCATGGATCGAACATATTTAATTATTGTGTCAATCGAATCAATATAATCAAATCAAACTCAAACTCACTTTATCTTAATATCATGTTTAAGTCGTGTTAACGCGTCATGTCAATTATTATCACCCTTAAATACCACATGAATTATTAAAAAAAACTCACTGCACACATGTTTTCCATTTAAAGGGGGGCTAACTGCACACATGTTAGCTGTGTTACATGGACTCGACAGTGTTAGAATCCGGTGTGTGCTATGAATGGTCTAATGCAATACGTACTGTAGAGGATCCGTTCAAATTTTGGTTTTCGCAGACTCATATACTTATTAGTTATGTTAAATGGACTCAGGCGTGTTAGGATCCGGTGTGTGTTATGAATAGTTTAATGCAATACGTATTGTAAAGGATCACTTCTCGAGTTGGGTACCTGTGTCAAGTACATGTATGTATTCACGGTCGGATGTGTCAAATCCCTAAAAATAAGAACACACATGAACATTGCTAAATAAATATTTATTTAATTTGTTCATTATATAATATATTATTCATTGGATATGCTTTTTATATGCATGTCCAATTAAGAGTGTCGATAGTAATGTATGTCCAAAATATTAAATTTTATAACTTTTGAAGATTCTATTAGGGGTGCACACGGTTCGGTTCCTTACGGTTCCGGTTGGAACCAGAACCGTTTCACAATGGTTCCTAAAAAACGGAACCGGAACCGAAACCGAAACCGGAACCGTATAGATTAGAACCGAACCGTAAAACCGGTTCGGTTCCATGAGAACCGTTAACCATGAGTTGAGAGACAGCGGCTGAAGCTTGCGAACCCGAACTGGAACAGCGGACGATGGAAACTGAAAGATATGGGTTTTGATTTTTTTAACAATCTGAAATGATATGCCGAATTGCCTATATGTGTTTTGAACTTTTGATTCTTGCAGACAGATCTAAAATATATGGGTTTTGAACTTCTAATTCTTGTAGATTTTGTAGTTTACAGTTGCAGAGAGAGAGGGGGGGGCGGGGGGGGCGGGGGCAAGTTTAGAAGTTGCACGAGAGAGAGGGGCGAACTTGAGAATTGAGAGACAGAGGCTGAAGCTTGCGAACCCGAACTAGAACAACGGGCGATGGAAACTGAAAGATATGGGTTTTGATATTTTGAACAATCTGAAATGATATGCCGATATGGGTTTTGAAATTTTGATTCTTGCAGACATATCTGAATATTTATGGGTTTTGAACTTCTGATTCTTGTAGATTTTGTAGTTTACAGTTGGAGAGAGAGAGGGCAAGTTCAGAGTAACTCTGTTTAGATGAGAGATTGAGAAGAGGCGAGGACTGATAGAGTGAGAGATCTAACATTTAGGGCAAAAAACTAAAAAACATCTCTCCCTTCAGCGTATTCCACAATAAAATAGTGGTAAAGTCTCCGCATGAAAAAGAGTGTTTCTTTGTTTAAAAAATAAATAAATAATTGGATCCGCATGTATGTGTTATATATTTGTGTTTGGCCAACGGGCTACATCCATGTCACTTACTTTAAAACCGTCAATTTGTGCCCTACTCAATTCTTAAATGGAGTTGAACCAGAAGGTTTTGGCACTTCGGTGAAATTAAATATTCCAAATCCGAAGACAATGCTAGATTTATTTACAAAAGAACATATACTTGGAGGGCCATAATATAAATTTAATTAAAATAATAAAGGAACCAAATTTTGAATGAAAAACCTCAACCCAACTTAGATTTGCGGTAATGGTGATTCTAAAATTATCATATAGAATCCACAAATAAAAAAAGCTTCTTTTCCTTGGGATGATCATTACCATCATCCACTCAAACCCAAATCAGCCTGCAATCAACAAAAGTCCGGAAATCGGCTTCACAATTCTAGAAATGCCCCATATAGGAATCGGCTAAAAAAAAAAAAAAACACACACACGGGGTATATTTCACATACAGGAGAGCATATACACGAGAACGATGACACTCCTGCATATAGCCATGAAGCTTCCAAACAATATTAGATACCACCAATATGTAGCTTCTACATTTTTCACCGATTATAAAGTTTGAATCTATTAAGATTCATACTACAATATCATCCATTAGAAAGTAAGATGCTAATTAAAAGTTCAATGAAGTTGAATCTCTTGCTCAATAGAAAACAAGAACAGACCGAAAGTCGAGTTGATTCACTCACAAAGAGACGTCCCAATTCGTGGGTTCTTAGACTAACCTAAACTCAGGCTCAACCAAAACAAGTCCCGGAAAAATCAAGTGCACCAACAAACCTGCTCCTTCCATACCTCGCCTGGAAAGCCTGTTCCCACAAGTCACACACCCTGCAGACCTGCATAAGTACAATTGTATGACACTTTTCGTACCATTGTTTTACACTGACCAATTCATTAGGAATCCAAATAGAAGCTGGTTTGGGTATACTCTAATGCCTCTACTTCTCGACATTTTTCCCCTGTGCCTTCAGCTTTACTTGTTCGTCTGTCAACGGTAAGTAGTAAATACGAGGCATCGCTTTGGTTTTCCTAAAGAGATCATCTAAAGTGACAATCGGAGGGTCAACTTTCTCAGGAAGTGGAGGCGGGGGTGGAAGAGGAAGCCGTTCCCTTGGTGTGAGAGGGTTAGACAAAGGTGGTGGTGGTGGAAGAGGGGGTGGAGGAAGAAGCTGCTGCCTCTGGACTTGATGACGTGGAGAAGGTTGAGGTGGCAAGGAGGGTGAAGCAGAAGGTATGGGAGTGCCACTACATACAGGTGTGGAAGCAGACTGTGGAGGAGTCTCCACCCTTGACTTGACTTCCTCGGGAACAACAAACTCGGCCATCAAAAGGCGTCCTCCATTAGGAGGCCATTGTAAGTTGTGCACAGCATTTCGAGTCTCTATGGCTTCTTCCACTGATGAATACTGCATCAACAGGGTAAATACCAAAAAACATGTATATTTCAATCAGTCTGAAGATACGAAGAACATGACTTGTGCATAGAAAAATAGAAATCCTATATACATCACAAATTATCATGAATATAGTATCATCACGCATGCATCCGTAAGACACACACACACACACAGATTATTAAGACTTACAGTGACGTAGCAGTGGGTTTTGATATGGTCCATCCAGAAACTGGTGACAGTACCAGTTTTTCCCAGAAATTCTTGCACAGCCTTTAGTGTAAAAGGGCGCAGAAAATGATCAATTCTGAGAGAATTAGTAGGAGGTTTTGGTGATGGTGGAACTGTCAAAAGAAAAGAATAAACCACACAATTCAGATTCTGAAGTACTCATTGCAGATGCAGTGAATTTAAATTCTAAATACAAGAATCATGGCAACTAACCAACACGTTTATCTGGTTCATTCTCACTAACTGTGGAGTCAGATCTAGAGAAGTTGCCTTTCAAAGTAGTAGACGGCAATTTGTCCTTGGGTGTACTAGAAGAGGCAAGGTTAATGCTTTGCGGCTCAAGAACTTTAAGACTTTCAGAGTTCCATCTGCGCCTCTTTGGAGTCTCGTTGTTACCAACTGCTGCTTGGTCTGAGAATACAGCTCATTAAAATAAATATGAATATGGCCAAAAGAAACTAATTTTTAGTAAGCAAAAGAACTGGTGAAAATGGAAACTGCAAGACTATTTCATATTTCAATGTATTATGAAACAACTTCAATGGTCAGCATGAACTGCCGAAGGAGGAAGCATTACAATGAAGAATGACTATCGGACAACCAAAAGTTTCAGCTGCCTTTTCATGTCTAAACTGATTCACAATGGTAGCTAGAGGGGCTCCTAGGCCATTAAAGGCTAGGCATTCCCTCGATGCTCAGGCGCCTCTTACGTATCACTTTTCTACAAAGTGGTTGCCACATGTTCCTTAGTTATTAAGATTGACTTGCATATAAACTTCAAGAGTCAACCAAATCAAACAAGCACCAACTACTCAGCTAATGAAATAAATTAAATAGAACTGTTATATCATACAAGAACAACACAAAGATGAACAATACTAATTAACATCATTATTTAAGTTAAACAAACGTCTATGGATCAGATAGCCAACCAGCACTATCTCATTGATGGGGTATGGTTAAGTCAATCCAAAATCAACTGCAGACACCTTTCTCAGAAGTTAATTCCCCAGCCTGTAATGTATCTTCCAGGGCTCCAAGAGAAACTCCGGTCGTGCTATATTGTCTCAAACTTCTATTTCTTCTGCAACCTCAATTACTAAGAATTCATTATCTGCTTATCTGGATTTTATTTCAGAAACGTTCTCATTTCTCAAGTATAGTTCTATTATCTAAAAAACTAAAGACGGCAAAGGTTATTATAGAACACTTAAATTGCAATTGTTTGACAAGAAAGCAGATGTTTTAGGGACTGTTAGATATCATGTTTAAAAAATATTTTCCTGTTCTTAAAAAAATAAAGACATGACACAACGAAGTTCACTAGCGGAGCACATTATGAAACCTTTTTTTTACCCAAACAGCCCATTGTCTGGAAGCTACCAGTTGGTGTTGGCTACATGATTCATGTTTCACCATTCAATCCATCAAGCCAAAATCTCAATTAAACCATGATTATGTAATAATATCCTTCCTGAATATCATATCCTCAATTAACCCATGTCAGTTCTGATCTTCCCCTTTTCCTAGTATTACCCTCAATTAACGCTTGCTAATGAATATGACAAAACATACAAGTATGGCATTGCCAATGCGGTTTACATTATAATAACTGTCACCTAATTTCATTCTCTCACTTTGTAAACAGCAAAGCCTGTGGAATTATTCTTAACCAGGATTCATCATATAATAGCTGTCACCTAACTTTATACAGATACATTGATGCATTGGTTGAAATGAATCAACGGACAATAATGACACAGTTCACACCTCCGGATACAACCTTTAACTAACAAAGAACTATATAGAATTATATAAGTAAATGAAAAGATTATGCAAAAGCATGCAGACAATACTGTGGACAAAAATGCAACAGATGGAAAAGACTTCAGAAGCAAGGCTTACCATGAAGCTTTCTTTTCACAGTGGGTGCAGCAGCAAGAGCTTTCTTATTTTCACCATGACTGTCTTTCTTGTCCGCAGGTATATCAACCCGCATAACATTAGCAAGACCATCCTCCTTCACCACATGTACTTCAGTTTTCTCACTCCTATCTCCAACTTCATCAGTATTGTATTTAGAATCAATTTGCTTACTCTCCAATGCATCCTCCTCCATGGAATCCTCACCAGAACTTCGGTCTAGATTTAATTTTTCAGAAGAACCCACATCAGCACTATCATTTTTCTTGCTCATCTCTCTATTTGCAGCATTGTTGTCATCCCTCTCCTCAACAGATACTTTGCTTTCACGTGGTTCTTCAACATCCATTGGATGTAGTTTGCCACCATCTGCGACAACATTGCTGAATGATGGCTGCACCATTTCAGGCCTAACATCTAGTTCTAATTTGACATTATCAGCAATTATATTATCCTTTAGTTCATTCTTTTCATTAATTGAGACACAATCAGAAGAAACAGAATCAGATTTTACTTGAAACCCTAAAACAGGGCTGACCTCAGATACCTGGTTGTTTGGATCAGAAGAGTTGAGCTTGACATCCTCTTGAGGAGGCTTTGGATCCTTGTTCTCTAGCTGGGGCCCCAAATCCCTACTGCCATTCTGGATTTCATTGTTTTGAGACTCTTGAACGCTTGATTCCATCTCAGGCACCACACTCTCAGTAACAGTAACAGTGGTTTCCACAGAAGCTGCATGAACAATCAGCCCTTCATTCCTAGCGGAATCAGTACCACCCATTTCATGAGGTGGCTTTTGATCCTTGTTCTCGAGCTGGGGCTTCAAATCCCCACTGTCATTTTGGATTTCATTGTTTTGAGACTCTTGGACGCTTGATTCAATCACAGGCACCACACTCTCAGTGACAGTAACCGTGGTTTCCAAAGAAGCTGCATGAACTATCAGCTCTTCATTCCTAGAAGAATCAGTACCACCCATTTCAAGAGGAGGCTTTTGATCCTTGTTCTCAATCTGGGGCTTCAAATCCCCACTGTCATTCTGGATTTCATTGTTTTGAGACTCTTGAACACTTGATTCTATCTCAGGTACCACACTCTCAGTAACTGTAACTGTGGTTTCCTCAGAAGCTGCATGAACTATCAGCTCTTCATTCCTAGCAGAATCAGTACCACCCATTATTTCCTCTTGAACTTCTCCTTCACCCAATGATGCCACATTATCACCCATGTGAACCTGAAACATTCCACCATCAATCTCCTTTCTGTTATTACCGTGATCTATTGTGTCCCTGGCCCTTTCATCACTAAATGGCACCATATCTGCATCTTTTGACACCACCTCATGTTGGGAAACAGTATCAAACCCATTATCAATGTTTTCCTTAGCAATTTCACAATCATTGCGAATCGCCTCATCCAATCGTTTTACCAAATCTTCTTTCAACCCCCTTGTCGTCAATTTCCGTCTCTTAAGCTCTTCTTTTAGCTCTGTTACCTTCCACTGATCAATTGGTCGGTTGTCAAGAACTGGATATGATGACGACATCTTATGTGCCAACTTTTCCATTCTGGCAAAAACCCAACCTGATTAGACCATTGAATTTGTTACACAATTAGCAACTCAAACAATTCACATAAACAAACAAAGGTTAGTCCAACATGGAAAAACTGAAAGGACTGCTGAGCTGGATATAAACAGCTTTTAGATTAAGGTAAAATAAGAGAGAGAGAGAGAGAGAGAGGAAAAAAAAAAAAAAAACTCATGCAAATAAGCCACTTGTTTCAGCAAAGGGAATCATAGACTAGTAATTTATTACAAATTTTTATAATAAAAATAAAAATAAATAAATAAAACTATTGAATATCATCAAATAACTTTGGTCCCATCAGCAACACTGCTAACCGAACATTTCCCCCAGTGACACACCCCACCCCCACCCCAGTGTTATTAAAGGCCCAAGGGCTAGAGGTCTTTTGGAGCCTAGGCGCGAGGCGCGCGCCTCAAGTGAAGTGAGACGCACAATTGAAAATGTAAACTGCCATAAAACATTCATATCTCATAAGTCATATCAATATTCTAAAACTTATTATCAAATATAAAAAAGCAAATACATCAACTAAACAAGTATCCAACAACCATAAAATAGAGCACAAATTTGTTTTCTTGAAAGGCAACGCATAATTTGTTTTTTTGAATGGCAAAATAGCGCACAAAAAGAAATAAATCTGCCAAAAAAAAAAAAAAAAATCTGCTAACAAGAAAAAGGCGCAGAGACGGAAGAAGTAGATGAAGAGAGAGAAGTAGATGAGAAGAGAGAGAAAGTGTTAAAGAAAAAAAGGAGAAAAAAACGAGCCCCACCAAAAAAAAGAGACTAGGATAGAAGAGAACTAGACGAAGATAGAGATGTAAACAAATATAAGAAGGGAGGAGTAGAGGAGAGGACAAGAGAGAGAAGTAGAGGAGAAGAAGAAGAAAGAACTAACGTGGCTTCGTCGTTCATCTCTGCAACTAGGGCTTCGTCTCACTCCTCACTCTTTCTCTGTTCGGTTGACACTACTCTTGGGCTTTCTTATTTGTTTATCCTTTTGAAAAAAAGTTTCTTTTCTTGAAAGCTTGGGCTTTCTTATTTGTTTATTTGTTTATTAAGTTGCAAAAAGGGTCCCTTTTTGGCTTAAAAAAAAAAAAGAATAATCATAGTTTTTTTTAAAAAAACAATCAGCTAAACACGACGAGGCGCAACCGAGGCGCGCGCAACATCAGTGAGCCTGGGATGACAACAGGCGTGCCTAGGCCTTTAACAACACTGCCCCACCCTAGATATCCTACATGTTAAAGAACTGCCCAGCAAAACCTATTCTAATACAGTAATTTAAATGAAAATAGATTTAAAAAAATAATAATTAAAACGGAAACCACCTTATCACTATTTCTAGTACCATCACAGCAATTGTTAATAGCCATCGCCCCATCATCAACACACTAAAAGCCAACCATCATCAACACCGTCCCTGTATGTCCAAACGACACAAAACCACAACCACCACCTCACATCCTATGGCCACTGCCTCTCATCACATTCCACTAATTACCTCAAAAAAGATATATTTGACCTATTTTATAGGCATAGTTGAAACAAATGGTACATATTACTGGACATTATCTCAATGAACACTTATCCTGATGCTAGCAACCGATGAAATTAGTTTCACCTTGGAGAATATTTTCTATTGAAACAAACAAATGCCTAAAAGAGGGAGTTGTTCATACAATCCAATTTTCTTAAGAAACAAACAGATCTCTCAAAAGAAAGAGAAACCTTGATAGTGCCCAATTATCAACCCTTCAAATGATTCAAGACCCAAGACATGCAGACACTAAAATCCAAATAAAAACAAACAATAAAGCGAAAAAACGTAAGGATTGCAAAAGTACTCACAGTGATGGACGATTCACGAACTCCAAACGCTGAAAAAGATCCACACTTCCTTACGAGAAAGGTGTGGAGGTACGAAACCCTAATTTAATCAGAACAAAAAACCAACCATTAGAAAGAACACATATACATACATATGTATATATATCGAAGTAACCCACAAACAAAAAAAAAAAAAAAACGAAAAGTGGGGGGGAAAAAAAAAAAATTAGAGCGTTCACAAATCTCGATCCTGTTTATGAAAAAAAAAAAAATGAAATCTTTCCTGAAATCAACGAAAACACAAAAGCGAAAAAAAAAAAAGAAATTTTCTAAAACAGAGAAAATATGAGAAAAAAAATTATAGGAGAGAGAGAACAGAAGACGATTTATTGTGAAGAGTTTTGGAATTATGGGGAAGTTAAAGAGTGGGACTTTTTAGGGTTTTTGGTTCTTTTTAGTTTTCGACGATGAAAGAGGGCGATGAGAGGAAAAGAGTATTGATATAACTGCTCCTGAGTTGGGCTGCGTGGTGTTGAATCATCAAGCCTACTACTTTTTATGGGCTTTGTGTGGATTGGAGTCATTGGGCCTAGTAAAGTAGTGCAGTGATAGCATATATATATATATATATATATATATATATCAATATCTATCTATTATTAAAAGTACAAATGCAGTATTATATTATTAAAAGTACAAATGTTGTATTTAGTGTGCAGGAATAGAATAAAATGAAATACTTATTCCAATCATTCATTTGTTTGGTATGTAATTTAAAGTGGGAATGGTCATTCAATTAGAATGAAAATTCATTCCACAACTAAACCTATGGAATATTAGAATGGTCATTCTATTCCTAAGTAATTTTTTTTAAAAAAATCAACTCTCCAAAACACCTTCATGTTCTAAGTCCAAAAACAACCATTACCTTCCACTACAACCACCTTTGTTTTTCACCACCACCACCACTACCATCGCCTTCCACCACGGCCACTGCCACTGACTTTCACCATTGCCTACTGTTTTCCACCACCACCACTGCCTTTCACCACCGACACCGCCTTCTTTTGCCGCAACCACCACCACCGCTACCACCATATTTCACCACAACTACCACCGCCACTGCCACCACCGTTATCGCCATCCACCGCCACCACCTTCCACCGCCATTGCTTTTCACCACCACCACCGCCTTTCACCACCGTCACCGCCTTCTATCGCCATTGCCTTCTACCGCCACCACCATTATTGTGATACCCCTCGATTCTAGAGCCACGGGTGATCAATTCCGAGCACAGATCCGAGGGATACCAAACAAGTAAGTATATAAACAAGCATTGAGTACAAAAGAAAGAAATAATAAATAAGCTGAAAGAAATCTAAATAATAATCCTTAAAATTTTAATTAAATAATCCAATATTTCTAAAACCTCCAATATTATTACAACTCGAGAATCCATCTAGTGGACCCCTAATAATATTCCAAAATAAAATAACTAAACTGAAAGAAAAATTCAAAACTAAAACATGAAGAATAGTCCTACGTAGTCGGAAGAGTGAGTAACTATCTCTGCTCGGCACAAACAAGCTCTAACACTGGAACTGTCGAACACCTGAACCCACGAACAAATTCTACTCTACTACAATCCAAACAGAGACCCGATACACATATACATCCTAGACAACTCAACAATAGCTAAATAGTCCATATATATATAAATACACACTAAGGACGCTCACTGGATTATAGGTCTGTCTCAACCTAAATAGAAGGTAACATGTAAATCGCACATAAAATGGGCATGTATACCTAGACATACCAGGGCACCCATATGTCAACTATATTCAGTTATCCATCCTGGGCAATATACGCACTCTAATCATGATCCTAAGACTCAAGCTCATATCATGGCACCATAATCATATATATATAAAGTCTGTAGAAGCCTAACACAAAAAATGCCATCCATCTGATATAGTGGCCTAACGTAAATAAGTAGGACTTAACTCTATGGTTAATCAATTCCCTTAGAGCATCTCCAATACAATGCTATATTGCATGCTATTTCTAATATAATGCTATATTGCATGCTATTTCTAATATATATTTTAAAAAGATCATAAAAAATTTCACCAAATAGGATTTAGTTTCCAAAACAAGAATTACAGACCTTGATCATAAAAATAGAATTACAGAAAAAAAAAAAAAAAATTAAAACAAAACCCATACATACAAGTTGGCAGTTGCAGAGTGAGAGGGGGGCAAGCTTGAGAGTTGAGAGACAGTGGCTAAAGCTTGCGAAGGGTGGGCCCGAACTAGAATAGCGGGCGATGGAAACTGAAAGATATGGGTTTTGATTTTTTGAACAATCTGAAATGATATGGCCGAGAAAGGGGGCAAGTTTAGTGAGAACGAGAATAGAGATGGATGCGTTTGGGGAGGCTGAAATGATTTGCCTTAAATATATACTATATTTTTCCTTGGGTCATGGGCCTATAAATTATATAGTTAAATATATATAAATTATATAGTTAATTACATGGGTGATGGGCTCTCTTTTTTTCTTTTGTTTTTTTTTTTTTTGGTCATTTTTTGATTAGATATTTTAGATTTTTGCTTCTTTTTAATTAGGTTTAATTTTAGTTTCCTTCTAATGTCTACAACTTGACTTGGAATGTGCCTAATATTAATATTTCTGATGCAAATATGAATTGTGGGAATGGTAGTTGAAAAAGAATGGTGGTTGTATCAAAAAATAGCATTTTGCATAAAATGCACCATTGAAGCAGAATTGATAAAATGTAGCATTTTGACACTGTAGTATCTGTCAAAATATAGATTTGGCATGTGAAAATGACTTTTAGCATTGGAGATGGTCTTATATAGCCAAGTAGGTAGGACTTAACTTTTTATTAGTTAATCCATCCATAAGATGCCACTATCCCATACTGGTGCATCACATCTATGTAGTCCAATAATTGATGAAATAAATAAATAATACATCAATTAATCCAGAGATAATATGATACACATCATACAAATAAATATTGCAATTATTTAGGCAATACAATAGTTTAAATAGCATGTAGCTAACTTATCTTCCAAGTAACTAGCCTACACCTCAGATAAACCATATAAAGTTTCATAAATATTGTTTAAAACCGTTTAAACATTAATTTCAATTGTTAAAGCAATTAAATTAATCATTTCATCCAATCTAAACAACATATAGGTTATTTAATTTCCAAACTATCCACCTCCTTAGCATAAATATGTATATTATGCATTCTGGGATCTTCCCATGTCCATTAAACCCATCTGTAAGGATTAAATCCAGTTTAAAATGATTCTGGTCCTTAAAACTCAAAAACCCAAGTCACAACCCAACTGAGGAGGCTCGGTTGCCAACTGAGTCAGCTCGGTTGTCAACCGAGTTGGCTCGATTACCAATCGAGTCGGCTCAGTTGGAACTAAAAGTGTCTTCTTCGCCAGTTCAGCCCCTGTAAACCCTAAAACTCCATAGTTAAAAGTCCTAAGCTCCAATCTAAGTCCCATACGTCCACACTAAATTATTTTAAGTGTTTTTGTATGCAAAGATTCAACTTAAACAACAGTTCATGCATCAACAATCTAAGAATAAAGAAATCAAGAACATGAAACTAAAAACATACAATCCTCTGTTTTAGTTCAATTAAGCATGCATAATAATTCAGTTTAATTGTTTAAGTCTCCTGGAATATCCTAGGCATGTATAGAAACACAAATCAAAGGGAGAGAGTAAGAGAAGAACTTGCCTCTAAGGTTTTTGGATCAAAACCTTAACTCTTTCTTCTCTGATTTTCTGGCGACTTACGCTGCCGTCAAACCTCTCTGCTATTCCATGCTAGCCCAGACACAGACCCTCATTTCTTCCCCTTGGGTTCGGCTTTGAACTCCCTTGGCCGAATCTCCTTCTTCCTCTCAAAACTCTCGGCTCTTTATATTCTCACGTCCTCTCTCTATATCTGCTTAATGGTTTGTAACAACCCTATGCAGACTTATAATATGTATATAAATAGGCATAAAATAAAACCCTAATCCCAATCCCATTACAACTCCTAAAACTGGCGTGAAAGATAAGTAAAAGGAAAAAAAAAAAAAAATAAAACTAATATAGTTACTTTATATATTAACTATATATATATATCTATATATATATATATATATATATATATATATATTCATTTATATATATACATATATACTCTGTCTGCCTCAACGTGATAATATTACATACATGGTGTCGTCTTGAACCAACAAGTTAAAACGTGTTAAAAAGTGGCCAAGTTTGAATTTATAAAGTGCCACTACTACCTCTAACTACTAATATAGCCAGGGTGAGTAGGGATCGTCCCAAGGGAAAGGAAGCAATATTGATATGGAAACAACGTTGGACTAGTAGGTCGAGTGATCAAAGATATTTTGATTGGTTAATTAAACTACAATGTTAAATAAATTTAATATAAAGCAATTAAAGTAAATAAAGGGTAGAGAATAAGAGAGAGGGATCTTAGAACTTAAATGTCAACACTAAACATCACCTTTCTAGACACTCAATGTGTAATGAATGAGGGGAAATATATGTTGTAATACTAATATGTGTGATTGATTGAATCAACAGGTATTGATGACTAATTAAGTATACATTATCTAGATAACCTAATGAATAACACAATATATCAAACTAAGCCATGATTCTTTCCTTTAAGCTCACAACCAAAATACATTAACAAGCTAGAGAATTATACTACTTGCATTCATAAGCATGGAATATCAAACAACAAGCATGGATTGTCCTCCCATCTAAGAGAGTAAGGCAACTATACTACAACTAAGCTAGTGACATGAAAATTAAACTAATTAAACTAAGGTAGAGGAACAATTCATCAAGAAATGGGTATGAACCATCAAACAAACCACAAGAGTATTCCATTAAAGTACCATACCTTGACAATCTTTAGATTCATAGCATCAACACACATAGACATGCATCAATAACACAAAACCTAGAGATAAACATATGAACATCTATTCTAGCATACATAGACATATGAGTAGAATGAAATGATCAATTGGAAGTATTAAACAACACAAATCATTACAGAAACAAGATTCATAGATAAATCAAATGTCAAGACAAGAATTACAACACAAATCCCCTCAAAATACAAAACATCAAGATCTAGAATGCATGCTTAGGGCTAACTCTAGCCCCAAGAAGATGTTTAGCCACTCAATGATGTAGTCATCCAACCCTCAAGGGCCATCTCCATGGTAGGAATGATCTTCTTCTTGATGGAAACCCTAGATGAATGGAAGAACTCCCAAATAGTGTGTATCTCTCTAATCTCTAGACTCCTCTAACCTCTCTCTCCAAGCTTGTATATCTAAGATTGTATATCTCCTCCCCTTTTATAAAAATGGCTCAAAATCCTAATATAGGTAACTCAAGTGTCACACCCAATGGTCAAGCC